GAAAGCAGTCAACAACCTCAGTCAAAGAACTTGACAAAAATTATCCACTCTAAGAAGAAAAGCAGCCCCCAAAAATGTTACACAAAAACTTCCCTATCAATGAAAACATGTGAAAGAATGACACCTTTCTAAAACCTGAGTTTTATTTAGTTTACTTTCTGTGACTACACTCTTGTATGAGCTCAGTGACATCAACTGGAAGCAGCAATCTCAAAGAGAATGACTGCAACAACTCCTGGGATGGAAAGGTATTTAACAGTGGATAAGAAATCAGTCTACTTACATATCTGCTTTCAAAATCCAGTTCTGAATGCCACCCTCAGCCAACCAGAAGACAAAAACTACCTTCTGTAGCAATGTGTCTGATCAGATGGGGAGGAACTTACCATTAACTTACACACCAAAAATCAGTGAAATTCCAAACACATGCAAGAAAACAGTAAAGTACTTCTGGGTGGTTTGTAAAGAAAAGCTATATTCACTGACTACAATACTGACTGTGACTTCTTTACTGAGCTTCCATAGACAAATCTATTCGGAGCACTGCAAAATACTCCTATGGTGAAAGAAACTTCCTCTGTTTAGGACCTTTCACTCTCAGTTTTGGATTACTTGCCATGATCTGTGTTCATCCAGACAAGTACATTTTGCACGCACCAACACATCACTTATTTAACATCCTATCACGTGTTTTAAATAAAAATTAATTTATTGATCAGGACACCAATTTACCAGCAATTCCTTGGAAATATGTGGACTCAGTACACATAGTTTAATATTCTGCTTATCTATATATGTACATATATATGCAAAAAATGGTAAATTGCATTTGATATTTCACATACTAAGCCCAAACTACATGTGTATGAAGATACATACCCACACATATATACATCCAGAGACTAGAATGTCAACCAGATATGTATATGAATAAGCACAAACATTTCAAACACATAAATTGTACTTTCTAAACTGTGCATAAACAATATCATCCCAATAGTATCTGAAAACAGTTTAAAGACTGATGTAAAATTCATCGTTGGGAAAAAAAAAATCCATTCCTCTTCATTGCAAATGTTTGTTAAATGTAAATGCTGCTATTTTACTCCTTGGAAGAATGTTTGTCTGCATGTGGAATTTCATGATAAAAAGCTTTAAAGTCCCAGGTTTCTCTAGATAAACCCCACTGGCTTAGCGATGCATGAATGCACTGAAATTGAATTACTGTACAACAGCAATTGCTTTTCACAGTACAGTTATAATGAGAATCAGTTTCACAATAAACACCAGGTAGCTACAGTAGGAAAAAGTTAATAAAAAGAAATCTATTTGCATTTTCTGCTGCAGCAATAGTAGTTGCCTTAAAGAAACAGTCTTTAACACTTGATTTGCCATCTTACAAGTAAATCAACAATCATTTTTACAGAATTCTCTTTACTTGCAAAGAAACACTAATGAAGATAGAAATTTAACCACATAGCTAAAGTTTTAAGAATACATTCTGAATATTCCATAGTAACTTATCTTTCATTTTGCTTTCTTTTACAATTCCCCCTAGCTTCCTTTGATTTTTTTTTCCTATTACACCATTAACTAGGAAAAATAAAAGCAGCAAATGAATAGTTTTAATTCCACCTGTTTTTCACTATTAAGTTTGTTGTGGTAGTCATTTGTTACTAATGATTATTTCATCATGCTCTATTACTCTTCAGTTTCAAAAAAAAAAATCACAGCTAACTTGAAGACTGATCAAGCACATTTCTTGTGTGTGAAATCACTGAAAGTCCAGGAAAAGCAACTGAAGCAATACCACAATTGACAGAGGACTACGCAAGGCTCTCAAAGGGATTATTTGGGTTTGGTTGTACAACTAAACCCAAGGCTGAACAACGCAGGAAATATTTCAACTTATGCCACCTTATGGGCGATAAGATTTTTCCCAACTTGAATGTCATAGTCTTAAAGACAAATGTATACATCTGCATTTGTCACAGCTAGAAACAAAGCATCAGCAACACTGTCAAAACCACTCTGCCATGGTTTTAACTTAAATCATATCACAAAAATTTCAAAATAAAATCTGAAGTTGTCCCTCTGAAATTAATCAAGTAGGGCAGTATTAGGAAGGGAATGGTTAAAAGGAATATCCTGAACCGACATAAATCTAAGGTAAATAGTGAGCACTAGGGAAGGCGGGGCTGGGGAGAGAAAAAAAAAAAGTTATTTGCAAGGGTTTCTATCAGTAAGTAGATGACAAAAGGTTATATAATTGGTTGAACACTTTCAGTTTTCCATTTATTTTATGTATCTGACAGCACAAAAATAGGACATTCTGTGATAGGATAATTGCATACTGAAGGGTAATTCAAACAGGGGATGAATATGATAAAAATCACACTGAACCAACTAATCACTGTGAAAAGCGATGAGACAGAAAGATAAAAATTCAACCCGAATATAAAGGGGGAGGAGGGAGAAGAGTTCAAATGTGATTATTGGCTTTGAACAAGCTAACATGTTTGAAAGCATAAAGCAAAACAAAAAAAAACCTGAAGGCCTTTCCAAGCCATCCTATGTCTATATTTCCAGGTCTTTCCTCTTAGCCTTCTCCACAAATTAAACCTTTTATATACTGTGGCTTTATGAATACTTGTCACAGATTGCTATATCTGCTAGAACCTGAAAAACTGTGTTGATTAAAATGTTTTATCTAAAAAGTATGTTAAATTAAACCATAGATTTTCATGTGTAGTTGAAGCTAATCCAATGAGTGGTGCAGGGTAACAGTCTGGGATAACATTGGAACATGTTTTCTGAGCGCTTGGATTTGAACACTCACAACAGTCACCTCATTATTTCTAGGGCTCAGAGACATTTTGTAAGGTACTCTTCATTTAGTACTTACCCAATATTACCACCAGCATATCTAAAGCATTACTCTGAATTCTAGGTTTCAGTGCCCTTTGTACAAGTTTCCATCAAAAGTTTGTGTCTAAATTCTATTCTATTAGAAGCAAGGTGATGCAGTATGACTTAATCTCAGCATGGAGCGGAGGTCTTAGGTCCACGGGAGCTTTGTGACTCCTATCTCACCTCTCCAGATATGGGGAGAAAATTAGCTATGATGTACCAAAGATGGAACTCGTGCAAAACTTGCACTGTATCAAAGGATTTTGTACTTATCAGTACACAAAATACTAAGCACTACTTATTACCAAAACATAAAATGCCACTCACTACATCACTAGCAACCAAAATAGACCACGTTATGTAATTATTCAAAAAAGAATACATTTATTGGAAAGTACACTAAACAGATCACTTTTTAAAAAGAAGTGACCCTGTCCAAACCAAGCTCCCAGCTTCCTTTCCAAAGATGGAAGTGTTCCAAAGGCAGCTCTGGATTTCAGTCACTTTTTCCGGCACTAAAACACTTTCACACAATACTGTACCCACAGTTTAACTTCACAGAATTTGGGCTTATTTTTACTCAGAGCATGGTGGCCTAGATTCATCCTATATATTTTTTTTTATCTTTAGATAAATACACCATCTGTCTGAAGAGGCCAAACCAGTTCTAAACACTCACAAACCACAGAAAACATTTGTGACAAAGCTCGAACTGAGAGACTCGCTGCTCTTCCCCACCAGCACTCCGCTCTGATGGAACAGAGCTCCTCCAACCAGCAAGTGTGCAGCTCGCTGGTCACTTCTCGCTCTCAACTAGTGCTGCTCTGAGAATGATTTTTTCACATTGCTATGATCTCAAGGCAGCAGTTTTCTCTACTAAGGAACAAGGAAAACATCCCTCCCAAGTCAATATTCCGCAGGTTTCTGGAGGCTATTGCACACATCTTAAAGTGCAGTTTTTCCTCCGAAAAACAGGCTGTAAAAATAGCATTGCAGGTTTCCATGTTTGTCTTTCTCTGCTCCCTTGCCAACTGTGCTCAGTTTACAAGCTGAAGTATGTTTTACTTCACTACCAGCCTAGAAAATTCATCCTTTAAACCATAGCCAAATTCCTTCCTCCCTTCTGCACCATTACAAATAACAAAAGGCTGAAGGCGAAATTGTATCTACGGTTACGCAAATGGAACCCCTGCCCTTGGGTGATGCCTTCAGATCCGCAGTTGAGACAAAAAGACCTTAACCTCAACTGAGCAGACAAATCTGGCTGAAATAGAGTAGCTGGTGGTAAATGGCATCACCATAGCGCCCTATGAGTTTTTTGGTATAGCTGATGTTACAGTCACCTAAATTTCTACCAAAGAATAATTTAAAATGAAAACTACAACAGGAAGACCTGTGATTCTTTAGAATACACATTACAATGAACTGCTTTTCAATAAAGTAAAACATAGAAGACAGAAATTTTTATTTGTTTATGGTAAATCTAACCTAATAGTACACCAAAGCACCTACAACAGAAGGATCAGAACAGAAAAAAACCCACTAAAACCTACAGAAGTACAGAAAGCTCAATGTAGTTATTTAATGATCCTTAATAAGTTGCCTTTAGGGTGATGTAGTACTTACCACAATGAGAGAAATTTTGGATTTAGTGCCATATGAGGTATCTGCATCTTTTTCTAGATTCTAGCTAAAGGATAGTTATCGAACTCATATGATTCCCTACAATACTAATTTTATAATAGTGAGAGGTGAAATTAAGCCTGCATTAGTTTGATATTTTGAAATCTACCATTATAATGCACAAGCATACATAGCTATGTTTTACTGAACAGAAATTATATTTTATTTTACAAAGTCATACAGGAAATTGGTAGTCCAAATGTAGTTACACTATCTTGCATTTATCTATTGATGGCATAAAATAATTTATATCTATTCTCTTGAACATTGATCCTAAAACACTTCTGAACACTTTAGCATTTCTGCTTCAGCACCTTCAATTGCTAGTACAGCCTTCAGAGCAGAGCCTAAATTATATACTTAGTTTTACATTATAGAATGAAATAGCAGGTTGATCTGCTGCTTACCCGTACGGCTTCAGACTTTTTATGAAACATTTCTTCCATATTCTTTGCTAACTTTTTCACAAGCTGAAGGCCATCAATTTCTTCTATTGCAACATCTTTCTCATATTCTTTGTATTTCTGAAAGAAAAAAATAAAAAAAAGAGAAAAGAATTAGGGAAAAGTTATTCACAGGGAACCAGATGAAATTTTGACAACTAATTATTAGTTTCATATTACACTTTTGCTGAAATTCTTCATTTATTTGATGTCTGTGTGACAAAAGGCTGCTTTGTGCCAAGATGCTGCCACAGGGCCAGAACTGGGTTAGAACCAGAACTTTGCTAAGAACATATAATAGAAAATATTTAACTGTGCACTGTAGGAAAATGAAATGACTCCCTTTCACAACATTTAAACTACCCTTCCCTGCAACTGAGCAACAGCCAAAAAAAGCAGTAAGAAATCCTCATGTCCCATCCAAGAATCATTTAAAACCGGTGATACGCTTGGCAATCCACCACACCTTAGCAACCCAGAATCCTCCTCCTCAGCTGAACTCCCTGTAGATGTCTATTTCACAAGCTTTATACAACACTTACATAATCAATACTTATACTACAAGCTTATCTTGACATTCTTAACTTTCTATGCAAAGAAAACCCTAAATAAACCACATAAACATGAGTTTTTATCTGAATGTAAGCATAAAAGTATCCTTTATACAATATGGATGAGCATTAGCTTATGGTCTCTTTTCAGTGTGAATAACTCGCAGACCGAGTAAGCACTAAAGATATATTCAAAACTATTTTTATCCTCTATTTTCCATTTTTTTCTTTACCCATTTTCGCAATGAAGCTTGTAAGAATATACTATACAGAAATGTCATTCCACTGCAGCTTGCACTCTAAGAAGTAACAGCTTTCAGTATAGTTATTCTTTGCTTATCTCAATTTAAAACATTTACAGTTGCAATGAATGAATCATTGCCCATGACCGAACCCGTAACCTATTCACATAATTGCACCTCCATGATACCGTGAGGAAGATGAAAAGCACACCTAGCCTCTGCCAGCTTTAGCCCTATGTGCAAAAAATATCTTCCAAACCTCTAAAGCAGATTCTCAGAGCAACCCACAGCACAATACTTGAGTCATAAAATGAATGAATAGCATTAAAAAGATTTACCACTAAAATTTGCCTACAGAATTACGATTATCTCCAAACCTTATATAACTCCAGAGAGAGAAGAAAGAATAAGGGCATCAAAAACAGTGGCTCAAAGCACCTGTCTGAACACTAAAATGATCAAAACAGTGAATAACTCAGGATCAGTCATGTCCTGGCTGGTGACGGAAGGAAGGAATCTATTGTAAGAGAATGCCTGCACATATTGTACCCATTTCTTCTGACAAAACCAATTTTCAAGGCAAAGGGACACTTTGGACTTAAAGTTTATACTTTTTTGTAAAAACTTGTGCAAATGTTTTGATAAACAAATGATATTTGATAAAACATCATTTGCAGACAATTTCATATGGTTAAAAAATACAAAGCTGTCAGTTAATATTTAAGACACTAAATTTTTTATATTCTGTAATTTCAGTAATAGTTTCATTTTTTTTCCGCACTATTTCCTGTTATGAGACACTATGCTATCTGAGATTTTAATAGTAGTCTAAGAAACCTAAGAAACCTCAAGCAGACCACCTGCATTTTGCTCCCTGGAGGCAGGAGGCGAGATTTGGTTTTTTCCCCTTCTTGGTCTCCATTTAAATGCCATAAGCAGAGATCTGATTTCAATTCTGCAAGTCCATTTATGCCACTACTAAACTCCCTGCTCTCCACACTGAAAAAAATAATTTAGTATAGCACAGTGACTTGTCTAAAATAAAAAAAAAATATATTTTTTTTTAATTTACTGGAGAAAATGCAAAAACATGGTAGACAAGAGAGGGACAAATGTTATTGTAACTATACTAACTGTGATAAAATGTAGTAAATGAACAGTAAATTGAAAACACTCCCAGTTAATTAATGATGTCAAAGTCTGTCCACATCCCACAGGATTTGAAGCTTTGGAGAACTGAAAATAAACAAAACAAAATGCACTGTCGTGACCAATTATCGTATTTATTATGTCAGCAGATCAAGTACAAATTTAAATCACTTATTCCAAGATGCACAGGTCATGTTCAACATACCAAGTTCTGATAAAACTGCTTCCTTCAGACTTGACCTTTCAGTTCTTAGTGTTCTAAAATGCATAACTTCAAGAGACTGTTTTTCAGGTCCTCAAACCTATTGATTTAAGCTTTGCTATCAAGTGAAGAAAACCAGGCGATTATTCACTTCATGTGTCTGAAAACTGTAAGGTTCAGTTGAAGTAGAAAAATTTTCTAGGCACAGAGAATCATACCATATAGTCTAATAGACTATTATGAGAACATACTACAAAGCCACACTTCCCGATTTTGAGTAACTGGGGCTTCTGGAAATTAATTATAACTTGAACTCAAAATAGACGGGAATGATTTAAGTGACAATTTATGATTTTATAGTTATGCTAGTTCATAGTACATAAATTAATTTTTTCCTAATTTAAGTGCCAAATTCCAACATTAAAAAAAAACTGGAGGAAACAGAAGATATTATTTAAGTTCTATTTGAAAAGACCACACATCTTGCATGGTGCATGTCTAGTCAATTGTTGGAAACCTTCACAAGCATTTGCAACAAACTAGGAGTATTTACTTGATCTGCAAGACCTTGGCAACCAAGAGGTTTACATAATAAGGGGTTTACATAATATGTATTTTACATCCAGTATTTCATTGCCATAAAAATACTTCTATTATTTTTTCAGCCGTCAGTGGAAGGTTCCAAAACAGAAGAAATTATGTGGTTGGAAAAAACACCAGCTGTTTTTAGTATCCTTGTGCTCTAGTAATTGTGTCCGGAGGGAAGAGGTGCCAGCTTAATCTGCACGTGTCTGTGCACCTCCTCTTCGTGCTCAACGGGCACAAGGTTGGGAATTTAGATTCAATCTATAATGAAGTTGATTTTATATCAAGTATCAATGCAAGAAACCTGAATCACAGCAGATAATGAAAACACAAAAACACAATAAAACTGTAACAAAGGACGTCATTAATAAAGGGTTCTCTTCCTTTCACTGCAGAGCCTGACCTCCAGGCTCTCGTCATTTCCCTACCACTAATTTTTTACATATTAAATTTAGGTTTAATTTAAATAAATTAGCTAAAACAGCAAAGACATTGACCCTTGGAAATAAATTTGAAATAGATTTTTTAAGGAAATTATTTATTTTATTTTAATGTAATCTGGAGAAAAGAGCAACTTGCCACTGTGGTTGCAATTAAGCAAAATGTTATCAAGGACAGGGGTGAAAAAACCAAGCTTCTGGGCCAGGTTGTCTTTTATATTCCAGACTTGCAAACTACCTTGTAGTACTGCTTCTCTGAATGGCTCTTCCAAGCAGTGCCTTAAATAGCTATTTCCCTGCCATGTGAAAGAGATGAAGTTGACGATAAAGTTTCTTGTTTTGTTTTTTTTTTTTTTTAAAAAAAAAAAAGAAACCCTTGATATTTTCAGTATTCTATAATTATATTTCAGTAAGAGATACTGAAAAATTCCATCAGCATTTGTAACATAGCCACTAACACATTTGTAATATTATTAAAGAAAGCAAACAGCCTTAACTTCACTATAAATGACTTACATAACAAGTGTATGAAAAGTTAGTCACAGCTGGACATTTCTTTTGATAAGTGGATTTCCAATTGTCTAGAAGATTGAGGAGATACAACTTTAATTTGCTGTGTTATAGAAAAAAATACTTGAAATGCTGATTCTTTCTGTTTGCAAAACAAGCATTTGGTAAGAAATTCCCCAGAGAGACAAGAACATTTATCATTTGAAAAAGCACACAAAAAAATACATTATGTCTTCAGTATCTGTTTTGCCAGATCATTTCACATAAGTGCCAGGGAAAGACAGACAGTACTTCACTGTCAGAACTTAACGCTTTCCACGGATTTAGGTGTGGGGTTTTTTTTTCTTGCTCAGTAAATGATCATCTGGAAATAACCTATCAGAAAGCAATCTATACAAAACTCGTGTCTGAAGCATATAATGCAACCCAAGTATTTGGCACTGAAACATCAACAAACACACACCAACACCAAAAAAACCTCCAAAACAACACCAAACCAATACCAAACGAAAAAGCCTCACACTAAAAACCATGTAAGTTTGAGTGACCAAGGCAGGAAAATAAATATCCTCTCAAAGCAAGACAACTGCAGAAAGATGCCATATGTCAGCTACAGCTTGAATTTTTTCTCCTTGTTTTTTCTCCGAAGAGAAGCATGAACCTTGTATTCTTATTTGTATCTACTTCTATCAACTCTCATCAAAATCAAGATAATCGCCTTTATGCTGTATATAAAAATATGTCAAGTTACTTCCAAGGGTGTAAACAGTCCTTAATCTCAGTCTTTTGACAAGTCTGTGGGTACACGTGCAGAACACTACAGCCATTTATGATGAAAATTCTTCCCACTCTCTCAGATTTTCAGAGCCTGTAAATACCACTACCATCCTGACTAAAGAAAGGTTTTAACCCAACATGAATTTTATAATAATTGTTCAAAAGTAATCTGTCAGTTTTTGTTGCATATTAGGAATTGATGTACACTTCTGAGGTGTATTCATAGCTATAGCTCACATAATTGTACACACTTTACAAATACTGCTATTTGAGATCTTTTGTCATATATATGTTAAATATATATGCATGTATACATTTTGGGTTTATAACAAAAACACAGAACTAGCATGCAAATGGAAGTTTAAGTATCCATTCAACCTACCCATTGTTTACATTAAAAAAAAAAGTATGTTGCTCCACGCCATTTGCAAAAAAAAAAAAAAAAAAAAAAACCAAAAAACAACCACCAAAAACACAGATGGTCAAGTCTTAACATTGCAAATGTAAAATGAGATTACAGAAATGTAATGTGTTGGTTTTGGCTGGGAGAGGGTTAATTTTCTTCCCAGTAGCTAGTAGGGGCTGTGGTTTGGATGTGTGCTGGAAACAGTGCTGATAACACAGG